CCTTCTCCAGGCAATGGTCCCTTCTTACAACATGACCAAAGTAGGTGAGACAAAGTCTGGCCATTCTTGCTTCCAAGGATGTATATGTATATTCTTTCTTTCCTGTATGTATATGTGGCTATATATATATATATATAAACCCACAATTCCAACAGTGGTTATGTGGTTATCTTGGAATAATGGAATTGTAATGGAATTGTATATGAACTTTATCATCTCATTTTCTTTTTTCTCACAAAATTTTCCAATTTCTTATTTATTTTTACAATAAATAAGTTGTGGTGTATCAAATAATGTGAGACTTCACAGCAGTTGAAACAAATAAACCAAATACCCTTGAATCAGTGGCTAAATTCTCACAATATCAGCCAAGATGACAAAGGCAAGTTGCAAGAAGATACCCAAAAATGTGATCCCACTTATGGGAATGTTTTAAACAAAGAAAATAAAACTATGTATCATTATGTAAGCATAACTATATAGTCAAATTATGAAATCCTTCATACAAAGGTTAAGCTCCAACTTCAAGTCCACGTTTATCTCTGAAGAAGGAAGAAAGAGAGTGAAATAGTGGGAGATTAACTGTTTCTAAAACATTTCATTTCTTTAAAAAAAAATTCTGAAGACAAGATATCAGCATGTAATTATTTGCTAAATCTGGATGTGGATGTCTGTTATGTACTTTTGCATATTTTTCTGAGTGATTGAAATGTAGTTGAAACTTTTTTATGCAATAAAAAAAGATGTTTAAAAAAAATTAACCTTTTTCTACATGCCTAACACTATGCTAGAAACCCTGTGATTCCAAATGAAGTATCCTATAGCATCACTGCCCTCAAGAAGTTTATAGTTTTGTTGGTAAAATACAATTTGATTCACAAGAAACAATTAGTGGACAGTCAGGTGCTCATTGGCATGGCAGGGATTGCACTTGATATAAGAGTTCAGAGAAAGAAGCAGCAGGGCTGACTGAGGAGTTGGGTTTGATCTTTCAGTAGGAAGAGCATGAGAAAAAGCATGAACTTCCTGGCACAGATGTGGAGGTCATGGAGGTGTGACAGGTGTGGCTTAGGAAAGCTCTGCTTGAGAAGTGGGGACAGGAAGGGCAGAAAGAATGGTGACTCCATTTTCCTGTTTCTTCAGGTCCAAGTGCAGTCGCCTTCATTTCATATACTTCTCTTGGAGACATCATAAATGCAACTTTTTTTGAAGAGGTGAATGGCAGCGAGCAGGTCTACCTGAACTCCTATGTTGTGAGTGCTGCTATTGGACCTGAAAGGAACACTTCTCCCTCCAAGACTGTCACTCTGAGTTTTCAGCACACGAAGGTGGGTCAAAGCTGAAGTTCAGGCTCACTTAGGTTTCATGCAGGTCGACTGAATAGCTTGTATGTACACCCAAACAGTACTCCTGGATCTGCACTGTCCACAGCACATGTGGCTGATGAGCACTGGAAATGTGGCTAGTCTGAATTCAGATGTACTCTAAGTATAAAACACATACCAGATTTCAGAGACCTAGTATGAAAAAAGGAGCTCTGGTGGTACAAAGCATTTGGCTGCTAACCAAAATGTTGGTAGTTCAAACTCACCAGCCACTCCATGTAAGAAAGATGAGGTGGTCTGCTTCTGTAAAGATTTACATCCTTAGAAACCCAATAAGGGGCTCTATGAGTCAGAATTGACTCAATGGCAGTGAGTTTGGTTTTGATTTTGAGCATAAAAAAGGAAGATTATAAAATATCTCATTTTAAGGAGGGGCTGCTATGAGTCGGGTCTGACTCAATGGCACATGACAACAATAATAATTTTTATATTGATTACACATTGTAAAGAATATTTTGGATATTGTGCATTAAATCAAATATATTACTAAAATTAATTTCTGTTTACTTTTTTAATGTGGCTAGTGGACAAATTTTTTAATTAAATAAGTGGCTCACATGATATTTGATATTGGTGTATCAAATAATGTGAGACTTCACAGCAGTTGAAACAAATAAACCAAATCTCCTTGAGTCAGTGGCTGAATTCTGACAATATCAGCCAAAATGACAAAGGCAAGTTGTTCTGTTCTGGTGCATGGAATTATTTTAGTTATAAGACCTTCACAAATCTGTGCAATTTGAATTGAAACTAATATTCTCACACAGTAGTTTGATGTTAATTGTGAAGACTACATAAGTCAACCACCAAAAAACTTCCATTTAATCCATTCTCTTTTTCCATTTTCTGCCCAAACTCTTATAACAGGAGGCTTAGCAGACAGGCACATGCCTACTAGAATCCATTTGCTCCTTCTCCTTTCAGCTCTGTTAAGAGTTAAGTGGGGAAATGTAGGTTTTCTCTTTGTAGTGCGTGGTCACGTTGTCAGAAGGGACCATTCCCTGGAGAAGGATATCATGCTTGGTAAAATGGAGGGTCAACAAAAAAGGGGAAGGCCCTCAATGACATGGATTGACACAGTGGATGGAACAATGGGCTCAGGTATAGCAAGGATTGTGAGGCTGGCACAGGACTGGGCAGTGTTTCCTTCTGTTGTACATGGGGTCACTGTGACTTGGAGATGACTCAACAGCACTTAACAACAACAGTGCATAAAGCCTAGGTATAGAATTTTTGATGTATGTCACAGTAAGCAGTGGCTGGTAAGAAGTCTGGGAATGGCCCAGTGGGTTATCAAAGGAGGCAAGGTCCTCAAACAAGACAGCAAACAACCATCTCCTTGGCCCCATGAAATAATACTCTAGAAATTCCAGCAACAAAGAAAATAGGTTGAAGGCTAAGTTTATTCTCTCTCCTTATAACCTTTTTTCCCCACATCACCCCTTTCCTCATGTCAGGGAATATTGCATTGTGAGGTGTCAGGGACAGAATTGGCATGAAAAAACAAGAGAGAGTTGGCTGAGAGGGTCTTTGGGAAAAATTGTTGTAGTTCCAACAGGTTTTTGTTTGATAGCCGTGAAGGAGAAGATCCTGAGACCAATGAAATCTCCTAAAATTCTGGTTCCCGGAAAGTCTTAGCCTTCTTTTAAGTTATGCAGACCCCAACAGGCCTGCAGCGCCAGTGGCAGGGATCTTGGGAGACATCATATTTACTTAAAATCCAAATGACCTGAGTCACTCTTCATCCATGTGTCTCCAATATGGCGCCCAGGTACAGACTTTGAGAATTGTCCTCCTAAGGAATAAGAGGATAAGACCATTCTATTTTCAGATGAAACCCAGGAACAAAAAGCCTTTCTGTGTCTACTGGAAAAGTTCCAAGGAGGGAGGCCACTGGTCCACAGAAGGCTGTTTCCTGATACACGTGAATGAAAGCCACACCATATGCAACTCCACCCACCTGTCCAGCTTCGCTGTCCTCATGGCCTTCACTAGCCAGGTACAATGTAAATGTTTAATTTCCCCAGCAAATAATTTGTGAGCACCTACTAGACAGTGATTAAGTGTTGTAAAGGAAATGAAAGTAGGAGACTGGAGTGATTGGGGAAGGCATGCCACTTTACACAGAGTGGTCAGAGAAGGCCCCTATAAGAACTAAATATGTGAGCTGAAATCTGAATAGTAAAAAAGAGCCCGTACTCAAAACTGCAATGAGATAGCTACTTAGCCACTGTCATTGAGTCGACTCCAATTCATAGTGACCCTGTAAGTCAGAGTACAACTGCCCCAATGAGTTTTCAAGGCTGAAAATGTTTACGGAAGCCGACCATCACATCTTTCTCCCACAGAGTGGCTGGAGGGTTCAAACTGCCAAACTTTCAGTTGGCAGCTGAGCACTTTAACCACTGCACCACCAGGGCCTCATTCATACTCACTAGAAAAACTATAATCAAAAACCAGAAAATAACAAGTCCTGATGAGGATATGGAAAAACGGGAACCCTCATATGTTGCTAGTAGGAATGTAAAATGGTACAGCCACTGTGGAAAACAGTTCCTCAAAAGGACAAACACAGAATTACCACATGACTCAGCAATTTCACTCCTAGCTCTGTGCCCCAAAGAACTGAAAACAGGTACTCAAACAAATACTGGTTCACAAATGTTCATAGCCACACTTGACAATAGCCAAAAGGTGGAAACAACCCAAATGCCCATGAACAGATGAATAGATATAAAATTCTGATACATGCTACAATATGGACGAACCTTGAAAACAATATGTTAACTGAGAGAAGTCAGACACAAAAGATCACAGACTGTCTGATTCCATTTATTTGAAATATCCAGAATAGGTAAATCCATAGAGATGGAAAGCAGGTGAGCAAGAGCAGTTGCCAGGGGCTGGGGGGAAGAGGAATGGAGAGTGATTGCTTAATAGGGACAGGGCTTCCTTTTGGGGTAATGAGAATGTTCTGGAATTAGATAGAGGTGGTAGCTGCATAACACCCTGAAGGCAATAGAAGCCACTGATGTGGACATTGCTGATGTCAGATGGATCTTGGTTGAAAGCAAAGAATACCAGAAAAATGTTTACCTGTGTTTTATTGAGTATACAAAAGCATTTGATTGTGCAGATCATAACAAATTATGGATAACACTGAGAAGAGTGGAAATTCCAGAATACTTAATTGTGCTCATGAGGAACCTGTACATAGACCAGGAGGCTGTCGTTCAAACAGAACAAGGGGATACTGCATGATTTAAAATCAGGAAGGATGTAAGTCAGGTTTGTATCCTTTCACCATATTTATTCAATCTGTATGCTGAGCAAATGCTCCGAGAAGCTGGACTATATGAAAAAGAATGTGGCATCAGGATTGGAGGAAGAATCATTAACAACCTGTGATATGCAGACGACACAACTCTGCTTGCTGAAAGTGAAGATGACTTGAAGCACTTACTGATGAAAGACTGAAGTCTACAGTATGGATTACACCACAACATAAAGAAAACGAAAATCATCACAACTGGACTGATAAGCAGCATCACAATAAATGGAGAAAAGATTGAAGTCATCAAAGATTTCATATTACTTGGTTCCACAGTCAACACCAATGGAACCAGCAGTCAAGAAATCAGACAACGTATTGCACTGGGCAAATCTGCTGCCAAAGTGCTGAAGAGCAAAGATGTCTCTTTGAAGACTAAAGTGTGCCAACCTGAGCCAAGGTATTTTTGATTGCCTCACATGCATGTGAAAGCTGGACAATGAATAAGGAAGACTGAAAAAGAGTTGATGCTTTTGAGGTGTGGTGTTGGTGAAGAATACTGAAAGTACCATGGACTGCCAGAGAACTAACAAATCTGTCCTGGAAGAAATGTAGTCAGAATGCTCCTTGGAAGCAAGAATGGCCAGGCTTTGTCTCACCTACTTTGGTCATGTTGTCAGAAGGAACCATTCCCTGGAGAAAGTTGTCATGCTCGGTAAGGTGGAGGATCAACGAAAGAGAGGAAGGCCCTCAACAAGATGGATTGATACAGTGGCTGCAAATATGGGCTCAGGTACAGAACAGATTGTGAGGCTGGCACAGGACTGGGCAGTGTTTCGTTCTGTTGTATATAGGGTCGCTATGAATCGACAGAACCTAACCAAAAAAAAAAAAAAAAAAACACCGTTCACTTTCAAAGTAACTCACTGCCTTCGAGTTGCATCTGACTCATAGCGAACCCTCCTTGGGTTTCCAAGACAGTATCACTATAGAAGTAGATTGCCCAACCTGCCTGCCGAGGAGTGGCTGGTGGGTAGGCACTATGCCACCAGAGCTCCCAATGCTCACTTTAAAGTGGTGAATTTTATGTCCTGTTAATTTTACCTCAATTTAAAAAAAAAAAAAAAAAAAAGTCAGTAAGAGAATGTCTTGAGGAAGTACATCCCAAACAGAAGAATCATACAAGTAAAGGTCCTGAAGAGAGAACAAACTTGTAGTGTTCCAAAAGAAGTGTGGCCAGAGCAAAGTGAATGAGTTATCTAGAGTTGCTATAACAGAAATAACACATGCAAGTGCCTTTAACAAAACTAAATTTATTTTCTCATTGTTTAGGGGGTTAGAAGTCCAAATTTGGAGTGCTGGCTCTAGCGGAAGGTTTTCTCTCTGTGTGGGCTCTGAGGGAAGAGCTTTGTCTTTTCATTTTCTGTTTCTTGGTTCCTTGAAGATCTCATGTGACATGGCATCTATCTTGTCCTAACTGCACTTACTTCCTTCATCTGTGCTTTGACATCTCAAAAGAGATTGACTTAAGACACATCCTACATTAATACTGCCTTGTTAGAGAGAAAGAAAATCCATTCCCAGATGGGATTATAACCACTGTAGAAGTTAGGATTTACAACATGTACTTTGAGGGGACATAATTTAATCTATAACAAGAGGGAAGGACTTAACTGAGGACATGGGCACACAGACAACATAGACCCCACGCCCATGCAGGTATGGAGAGTGGTACCCCAGAACAAAACTTAATGGAAATCTCTGACTTCTCCTATTACACAGCCCAGTGGTGGAGTCAAAATGGGGTTGAAAACACAAAATGTTTTAGTCACACATCAGTCCATTTATGGAAGTCATCTGTGAGTTTGACATAACCTTTGTTCATTCATTTTCTTTGCTGTAAAATATTCCCTTGCACAATTTACTAAAATTGACTTATCCATTCCACAGTTCATAGGTATCTGAGTTGTCCATTTGGGGGCTATTAAAATCAATGCTACTACAACTGCCCAACATGAGTCTCATCCCATCACTCATGCACTCATTTGCGTGTCTCTAGGTCACATAGCCAAGAGAGAAATGACTAAGCATTCCATTCACTTCATTTGCTTACTCTGTCATCAGGAGGGACAAATACCTGGAGAAGGATATCATGCTTAGTAAAGTAGAGGGTCAGTGAAAAAGAGGAAGACCTTTAATGAGATGGATTGACACAAAAGCGGGCTCAAATATGCCCAGTAATGTGAAAATGGCACAGAACCAGGCAACCTTTCATTCTATTATATATAAGGTTGCCATGAAATGGCACCAACTCAATGTCACTGAACAACAACACACTCACAACTAGATAAAATTGTGCCAAACTGTTTCCAAAGTAGTTGCACCAACAGAGACCACCACTAGCATTGTAAGAGAGACCCCATTGATCCATATTGTGTAGTAAATTACCTGGTATGGCTTTACTAGCCATGAGTCTTTGTAAACTCCGAGGTGGAATTTGTCCTGAGCAATGGAGGAGCTCCTGATTGTTAAAGTTATCCACCTGGGGTATTTCTGTTGCAAGTGGCACAAAGCAATGTTCCTGGAAGTTCTCTCTCTCTCTCAGGTGTATAGAATTCTTGATGTTATAATTGGTTAGTTTGGCCACTCTGCCAGGCTCAAAAGGAGCCCTTCTAGAGGCAGAAGGAGTATCTCTGACTGCTGGCTGAGAAAGATATGTTGCTGAGAGAAATGCACTCCGGAGAGACACATGCTGCTGAGAAACACACACCAAGAGACAGGCTCTGCTGGGAAAGAGACTGAGAAAGACTGTTGGCTGAAACATGGCAGGCTGAGAGAGACTGAGCATTGTTCCCGAAACTTGAATTGTAGCCTGGTGCTTCCCTAATAAACCCCCCATAATCTCTGAGTTCTGTGTGGCCACTGCAGTGAATTATCAAACCCAGCAGAAAAGTGGTGGGTGTTGCAGGGGGAACGGTTGGTGAAAGGGCTGGAAGGAGGCAGCATGTCTGGCCTTGCAGGAATAGGCCTTGGCCTACTGATGGGGTTAAAGGAGGTCAGAAGATGCAGCCTCACTGCCCCTTTGGCACACATCCTTGTCAAAAAATCTTTTTGATGTTTGTCAATCTTGTATCTTGTTATTGGTTTAATTTGCATCTTTTTTTCTTGGCCTAAGGAGCTCTGGTGGTGTAGTGGTTAAGGCATTTGGCTGTTAACCAAAGGCCCATCAGCCACTCTGCAGAAGGAAGATAAGGCAGTCTGCTTCAGTAAAGATTTACAGTCTTGGAAACTCAATGGGGTTCACTATGAATCAGAATCAACTTGATAGCAGTGAGTTTGGTTTTTTTTGTTGTTGTTGTTGTTGCTTGGCCATTTTATATTATCTTCTATAAAACAATACACTGAATTTGTTCCAATTTATAAGATTTAAAAACAAAACTAAACCATAGTATTTAGGTTGTATGCATACATGATAAAGCTATAAAGAAAAGCAGGCAGTGATTATCATAAAAGTCAGGAAAATGGTTACTTCTGGGGAGCTAGGAAGGTTTAATGATTGGGAAGAGGTGCTGGGATAATGTCTACAGACTAGTTCATAATTTGGATGTCCATTTAACATTAATCATGTACAGTTAAGTTTATGCTCTTTTCTGTGTGTGTATCATATTTCACCATTTTTAAAAGATTAAAAACACAAAGTAGGAGCTCTGGTAGTGTAGTGCCTAAGGCATTTGACTGATAACCAGAAGGCTCACAGTTCAAACCCACCAGCCACTCCTCGGAAGGAAGGTTGGGCAATTTACTTCCATAGTGATATCACCTCAGAAACCCAAGGAGGGGTCACTATGAGTCAAGCCGACTCAACGGCACGTAACAACAAGAAGAACGAAAAAAGAAAACACAAAGTACTGAAAAGTTATATAAAGTGACATTGAAATCAATGAAAATCTCCATAAAAATGAAAGGACAGCAGTTATCCTTTCCTGTTACTGAGTCTTGCTGTGTCTAGTGACTAAGCAGATCACTGGCCTCTGTTTTTAACAATGTTGAATCCCCAAGAGCTGAATTATCAGTCACCATGAGTCAAAATTGACTTGTCAGCAACAGGTTTTGTTTTGGTTTGTGTTTTTGTTTTGTCTTGTTTTGTCTTAGTTTGGGGTCCCTCATAAACAGACCCTGAGACTTTGAGGGCAAGCAGTTAATCTGGGAAGTGACTCCAGGACACATCAGTGGAAGAGTGGGCTGGTCAGACAGTGAAAGGAAAGAGCTAGTCAGTAAAAGGTGTGTCAAAAACAAGTTATCACTGTAGAAACAAAAACAATAAATTTGATTAACAGAGTCACCAGAATTTATTGAGAAACTGTTCTTGAACAAGGGGCACCTCAAACTGAAAATGGTGAAGGGACTCAAGTTTACAGTTACACCACCATTTTAAAGTTTAGATGAGTAAGTAGCCTGCCCTTTGTTTTGATCAGTAAATCATATTTAATTTTCCTTTTATTTTGGGAAAGTTGGTCATAGAATGCTAAACTGGCTTAGTTTGATTGGATGAGTGTTGCTAACTCATGATGATAAGGAAAACTTGCCAAAATTTTGATTCTACTTAAACCTGTTGTTTCCTATAAATGACTTTATGACTAATTTTTGTTTGGCTCTTGGCCCAGTGAAGCCATATTTACTTTTGCCTCTATAGAAAATGTTAACATCATCAGGGGCAACTGAGGCTCAGTATCATTGGGGCACTCTGTAAGACAGAGAAGAACACACACCTCAGAGTCATCTCACCCACAAGCAAGGGTGCTGGAGTATTTATCTACCAATTCCCCAACTGTTATTGTTTGAGGGCAGCTTCCAGGGGCGTTAAGGCCCCTGCACTTGTGACTTGCTCTGATATGTCCAAGCACACCCAGCTAGCAGGAAAAATAGCTTCAGGCAGAGAATCACTGGAATTCACAGTAAGCAGCCAGAGGGCAGGTAGAGGTGAGTGTGGGGAGAGGATAATGGAATGGCCTCTGCTACTCAGGGCTTCCTAGATCTCTTTGGGAGCAAAACATCCATCCAGTCGACTTTTCTCATGCTCTCCATCATCAAGCTTCACTCCTGTATTTGATATGCCCCATTCCAAGAGGGGAAAACCATCATCCCAGAGCAGGAGAGTATCACTGTGAGCTCCTCTTTGCTGGGTTCCAGGAGGAGGATCCCGTGCTGACTGTGATCACCTACGTGGGGCTGGGCCTCTCTCTGCTGTGCCTCCTCCTGGCAGCCCTCACCTTCCTCCTGTGCAAAGCCATCCAGAACACCAGCACCTCGCTCCACCTGCACCTCTCACTCTGCCTCTTCCTGGCCCATCTCCTCTTCCTCATTGGGATCGACCAAACTGAACCCAAGGTACTGACTGTCCCTAAGAACTACCTGCCCTGCCCCAGGAGAGGCTGGGTTCATGGAGCCGTTTTATTCTTGATACCCTGCTAAACTGTCCTTGATCCAGGGGAAGTGGGAGGGGTTAGTGCCAAGGTGGGCAGTGCTTGCCTTGACTATCAACTACCTTTACTTTTGATGACCTTGGTCTAATGTCAGGTGCTCTGAGCTCAATACCAGGGTCAAAAATATATTCTTGGGCTGCAATCCACCCTGACTGCCCCGCCTGAATGATCTCCTTCCTCCTCCAGGGGCTGTGCACCACCATTGCTGGTGCCTTACACTACCTCTACCTGGCTGCCTTCACCTGGATGCTGCTGGAGGGCCTGCACCTCTTCCTCACTGCAAGAAACTTGACAGTGGTCAACTACTCCAGTGTGAGTGGACTTATGAAGAAGTTCATGTTCCCTGTGGGCTACGGAGTCCCAGGCGTGGTTGTGGCCATTTCTGCAGCATCCAGACCTCGCCTTTATGGAACGTCTGCCCGGTAAATGCAAAGTCCACCTCATGCCATGAATAGTTATATATTTCCTGAAAGCTTTTCTGGGGTGGTGTTCATGGTGATGAACATGATGTTCATGGTGAGGAACATGATGATTGGAATATACATATCAAATTCGCCCTACATTCTTCTTTATAACAGCTCTAACCTCTTTCTCAAGGAGCTCTGGTGGCTCAGTGGTTAAAGCGTTCTATTGGTTTGAATACACTAGCTGCTGTATGGCAGGAGAAAGATGACCCAATCTACTTCTGTAAAGATTTTCAGCCATGGAAACCCTCTGGGCAGTTCTACTCTGTCCTCTGGGGTCACTATGAGTTGAAATAGACTCAGTGGCAGTGTGTATGGTTTGGTTTTTTGGTTTAACCTCTTTCTCAAGGAGGCAGGTAAGATGGTGCTAAGTGTTTGTGATCTGGAGGGAGAGAGTGTTTTAGTTATGTGTCAGCTCTGTCCCTCCCATGCTGTAGGACCTTAAGTTCTCAAGTCTGAGCCCACTTATTTGTTAAATACAGATAATAGGTATCACCACTGTCCCAATCTCACGATGTTGGTGTAAAAATTCATCAGGACTGTTATTAGTGTCCTAAGGCTATTGTAGCAAATGCCACAAAGTGAGTGACTTATAACAGAAGTGTATTGTTCTGGACGCCAGAAGTCAGAAATCAGGGTGTCAGCAGGCCTCTCTCTGGAGGATCTGGGGGAGGATCCTTCTTTGCCTCTTCCCACTTCTGGTGGTTCCTGACAATCTTTGATATTCCTTAGCTCGTAGATGCATCACTCAAATCTCTACCTCTTTCATCATATGGCCCATCTGTGTCTTTAATAAGGACACCATTCATATTTGATTAGGACCCACCTTTCTCAAGTATGACCTCATGTTAACTGGTAACACCTTCAAAGACGTCATTTCCAAACAAGGGTATATTCATAAGTATAGGGATTAAGGACTTCAGCATATCTTTTTGGGAGCTACGTTTCAATCCTTAATGAAGACTGCTCACAAATTGCTTAACCCAGTACTGATACGAAGTCCTTGGTTGATGCAAACTACTAACATGCTCAGAGGTTAACTGAAATGTTAGCACCCAGTGGAGCCTTGGAAGAAAGGCCTGGAAATCTGCTTCTGAAAAATCAGCCGTTGAAAACCCTACGGAGCAGAGTTCTCTAACACACAGGGGGTTGCCCTGCATTGAAGTTGACTCGATAACAACCGGTTCCATAGTAACACGTGATAGCATTTACTGCTATTTTCAGTACTCCTCTGTTGGAAAGGTGTCACTTTATGTCCATTTCATGTGCTTTCTCTGATCTCTCCTGTGTCACTCTTCTCATTTTTTCCAGCTGCTGGCTAAACCTGGATGAGGGATTCATCTGGAGTTTCCTGGGCCCTGTCGTTGTCATTATCTGTGTGAGTGTGTGGCTCCAATGTTCCTTGATTAAAGGAGAACCTCCACCAGTGCTAGGTTCAAGATGGTGCCTGGGACATACATTCCATCATGTGTATGCTTTGATTTTCCACCTACTACCTATTCAGAACTGTATGCAAAGAGGTAGGGAGTTGCGTGAAGTTCACTGAGGACATGGTGCATATATTTTAATTTATTTTATTTTATTTTTGTTGTTTTTGAGAATATATGCAGCAGAACAGACACCAGTTCAACAGTTTTCTACATGAACAATTCACACTCTTCAAGTTGTGCACACATTCTCACCCTCCTTTTCCAAATTTTCTCCCCTGGTAACCTAAACTCACTGCCCCCAAGTTTCCCACCTAATCTTTTGATCTGGGATCAAATTGACAATAGCAGCTTGAGGGATTAGATGGGAAACTTGGGCACAGTGCTCAAGGCACCATGCTCAAGGCAGACACTCTTTACTAGTTAAGCTAAACTATGATTTGGTTTCAAGAAGACCCCAGGAGATATTTTTGGTTTAAAGTTTAAAGGTTGTCTCAGAGCAATAGTTGCAGAGGTTCATAAAGCCTCCATAGCTCCAGAAAGTCTGGATTCTTTGATATCTGGAAATTCTCTTCTGCACTTTCCCCTCTTCTGATCAGGATTCTTCTATAGAATCTTTGATCGAAACGTTCAGTAATGGTAGCCAGGCACCATCCAGTTCTGGTCTCATGGCAAAGGAGACAGTTGTTGATGGAGGCAATTAGACGGACTCCTCCTCCAATTCCTGGGTCTCCCTTTTCTTCTGCTGCTCCAGGCAAATAAAGACCAATTGTTGTACCTTGGATGGCCTCTTACAAGCTTTGAAGACCACAGACGCTATGTAAGAAACTAAAAGGTAGAACAACAATGTTAAACACAGTCTTAGGCCAGTTTACTGGGATGTCCCATGAAACCATGACCAGAAACCTCTAAACCAAAAACACAAATCCCATGAGGTAGTTGGTCATACATAAGTAGCCTCAGTAGCTGCTCTTCATGTTGTTGTTGCTTTTGTAAATATATCTATCACACAGCTTTGGGCAATTGATGTGCTACATATTATAACTTGCATTCTGCACTCTGTGTCATTCCTACAGGTAAATTTAGTATTTTTTCTCTCAGTTCTTTGGATTTTGAAAAGGAAACTTTCCTCCCTCAACAGTGACGTGTCAACTATCCAGAACACAAAGTAAGTAAACTGTACTTCTCACCTCCTTTTCCTGTATTACCCCAATACTCCTTGCTCCTACATTTCCCCCACAGACAAACATCCCAGAATCGGGCTCCAGGGGCTAGTGAAGCCACTGTAATCTTCCATTGTCACAGTTAATGAGAACCTGTACAAGCTAGAGTACAGGCTAAATTGTTATGACAAAAAGACCCAAATCAGAGTGAAATAAGCTTATTTCACTCTCATGACACAGTCCAGAGGTGAACATTCCACACCTGGCAGGGAAGCTGTCTTCCACAGAGTGATCCAGGGACTCCAGTTCTTCCTATCTGTTGCTCCACCACCCCCTAGGGTGTTGTCTTTGTCAGTATCCATGGCAGGATGACATAGAAGTTGCATGATCCACATTTGTTCATATCCCATTGGCTAACCTTGGTCACACAATGGCATCTAACTGCAAGGAAGACTAGGAAAGGTAGTTTCCAGCTGAGCAGCCACGTGCCCTGATAAAACTCAAAGGGAGAAGGGACTTAACACTAAAAGGAAGCAGAGAAGAATGGCAAAACCAGAAGTTTCTGCCACCCAACACACAAGATGCATACAGGAACGCTCTTTCTTTGTCAAAGACAACCAACTCAGGTTTGCTAATCCACCAGTTACACATAGCTTAACCTCTACAAGAACCTGAAGAGATAAGCTGCTGATGGGTATCCCAACAAAACTGTGCCCACTTGGCCAGTAGAGACCAAGTTAGCCAATTGCAGCAAATTTAAATGTATATCTACATTTGTGTGTAATAGGTTCAAGAAGGATTTAGATTATATTTTTATTTTTAAGGATTTAGATTATGTTATTATACAAGATTACATTTTAGTAAATCCTTCCAAAAAAAGTTGGCACTCTGAGTATTTTTTTTATTTTTACAGCATTCACTTTAATCTGAACATATCTTTGTTGTTGACGTTGCTGTTGTAATCAGAAAAATATGGCATGCTTATTAAAATATCTAGAAATTTTTTCAAAATATATAAACTGAAAATAACTAACTCCTCTTTCACTGCTACTTCTGCCTCCAGGAAACCGAGTTAACAACCAGTATGCTATGATATTGTGACCCTGTTCCAGGTCTTTATCTGTGCACTTTTTTTTTTAAATTGTGATTTGGGTGAAAATTTACAGAGTAAATTCACTTCTCACACAGCAGTTCACATACACTTTGTCTCATGACATTGACCACAAATCACCCCAATGCAACAGCTCCCCTCCCACTTTCTCCCAACAGTCACTTCTTCCCTGTGTCCATCCCTCCATGCACTCCTGCCCCCTGAGCTGTCTCCCTGTGCATAAACAGCCCTTCTTTCTCCCATGATTGTTCTCTCCAAGGAGTGTATTTACCTCAGGTAAATGTTCCACTCCTATGCCTGTCTTTTGCTTGGCTGGAAGCCACAGGTGTGGGTTCAATTCCAGAACTGAAGGGCAGCTAGGGGCCATAGTCTCAGGGGTTTCACCAGTGTCTGTGCACTTTCTATCAAACAGATACAGGCACCTATACATTATGACCATGCTGTCTAAATTGTTCTCAACTAGCTTTTCTCATTTATATTATATTATAGTAATAAATTCGGGATCTATATACTATAAGTAAGGAGCTCTGGTGGCATAGTGCCTAAGGCATTTGACTGCTAACCAGAAGGTTGGTGGTTCAAACCCACCCAGCCACTCCTCAGAAGGAAGACTGAGCAATCTACTTCTGTAGAGATACCACCTTGGAAACCCAGTAGAGGTCACTATGTGTCAGAACTGACTTGATGGCAGTGATTTTGGTTTTGGTTTTTGGTATACTGTAAGTGGGGTGACCATGCATCTTAGTTTGTCTGGGACCGTTCCAATTTATGTCTATTGACCCGTTGTAATTATTAACAGCACCCTCTTTTTGACACTATTTAAAGACAGAGAGAGAGAGAGCACTCAGTTTTATAATGCTTTGCATATTAAAAAAAAAAAAAATCACTGTCGTTGAGTCGATGCCAACTCATAGTGACCACCATTGGGTTTCCAAGGTGGTAAATCTTTTTTTTTTTTTAATTTTAGTGATATATTTCGTTCAGCCTAATATATCTACAATATTATCACTACAACATGTAATCGATATAAAAATTATTAATGAGATAGTTGAGTTTTTTTTCTCATAGTAAATCTTTGAAATTTGTTGCCCACTTTACACTTACCACATCTTAATTCTGACAACACTAATTTTCTAAAGTTAAAGTGAAATGGAATCCTACCAAAATAATAAAGTGGTATTTAATGGAAAAAATACTTTATGTTGCTTCAATTTTAAAATTTAAATTAAATTAAATTTGAAAATTCTTCAACTTGGGATGTTGTTGTTGTTGTTGTTGTGTGCCGTCGAGTCAAACCCGACTCATAGCGACCCCTCCTTGGGTTTCCGAGGCAGTATCACTATGGAAGTAGGATTGCCCAACCTTCC